CCAGACTGCAGCTAATTTTTCATCCTTGTGATTCGGAGGAAACAGCAAATTGCACGGCTTGACCCAATAACTGCACAGGTGTTCTGCACCGCCAAACGCCACATAACATCCGCATTGGGTGTTCTTGTAGGCGAGGACGCGAGGAATAAACGCAGAACAAATTTGACATTAAATGGAAGAATCAGAACTATCTCCGTCCATCAAACACTACTGCTCAACCAATTTGCTGGGGCTCCTTCTTTCCCCTGTAGCGCCTGAGTGACATAACATAACATAGTAACATAAGTAATCGCAGCTTTTTTTGCAAATAAAACCTCCCACAATATGAAATTGTGATTCGTGCAGCGTATGCAGTACGCTGATACTTCCATAAAGACGAATGAAGACCTTCAACGTGGTCAGAATATAAACATACATGTTTGACACACAGAAGGTATTGGGGCTACTGGCATGACCCGGAGGCCATCCCACTCAACGAAGTACAATGGTTAAAAACGAAGTGAGCCTTTGGCAAGCTCGAGGGTTAAGCTAAATTATTTACGTTCTCGCCAAAGCACCAAGGTATCTGTGATATTGCCCAGACTGACCCCAGTCGGTTCTCAGGAGTAGCGTAAATTCCAAATTAAATCGCTAGTTCGTACACTTTGGATCAAGAAGCGCAATTCTGTAGCAGTAAACAACTCATGCGTTATGAGATTTCAGTAAAAAGTGCCAGGATTAATATTAATTAACGCGTAAAATATAATTACGGGTTTCATCTTGAATTCTATTAAATAGCCCCCTTTCAGCATTCGTTTCATATAATGGAGAATATTCGGTTATTTGTAACATGGCTTAAATTCAAAACCACACAAAACAAAAAAGTTGCAAATTTTGAAAAGACTATGAACTCGGAACTTACATTAATTGTGACTAGAGGTAAACACTGCAGTATTTCGCTTACTAAAGCTAGTTAAACTATTTGTGGTTTTTTAATCACCCAATGTTATTGTTTTGTTGCGTGGGAAGGAGGTTGGTAAGATCTAGCATCACACTATTTACAAAGCCTTGTGATTGGTGAATGGGAGTGGGAGTGAGAGTGACACCGTGATGGGGAAGAGGGACGGGAAGGAGAAGGTCTTAACTTACTACCATTGCAATTCAGAATTGCAATGGAGGATCTGACCACCCGAGAAGCAATGCTGGGCACAGGAATTCTTTAAGGCAATATCCTTCACCATCGATAGGGCGCGTGTTTTGGCTGCGTACAATTTAGCCACCTTAGGATATCACAGTTTCATTGTTCTTGCATTGAGAGCTTTGTCATTTGAAGGCAAAACATCCAGCAATTTGCGGTGTTACATCCTCTAAAGAGACGTTATCATTTGTGATGCCGTGCGGATTGAGCTCAGTGAGTCAATCCTCTTGGGCAATGCCTTGGCAAAATGGGACATGCCTTTCTGCGTTTCGGTGTATAAGCTGTTGTCTCAACAGTAAACGGTCCGTGTGTTGTGAGTTTTGCATTCCACATTGCAAGGAAAGCACCTGCATTAGACAAATTTGCCTTTATACTGGTGATAGTATGTCGCGCATATCATTTTCTCTCTCCGCTTTCCTCCTCCCATGTGCATTGCCGTAGATCACTTCCGCGTTTATTGCCTTCTGCAGGAGTGTATTAGGCGCGGCATTTGTTGGAATGTGCTCACGCTGCTTTGTCACCGGGTCAAGGGCATCTACTGTCTATTTCTTGATAAAACTTGCCCCGTGACTGCTGACATTACTTGCCATTAGCTGCAGACGCCACAACCAGACGTATTCAATTCACATAATCCAACAACCTGACTCTATTCAAGCAGAGGACTTTCCACTTCCTTGTCTGGTGTCAAGTTGGTGCACCACCAGAGCCCATGACTGAGCGACACAGACTCCACCATGACTACTGTGCCAACCAAAGTGTGGCAAATTAGTGGAGGTATGGAAGGTCCGCGTCTCATCACCCTTCAAGGATCTGAAGAGTATTTCCCTTTCAGGTGGTCACTAAGCGCACCATTACGCATTGCTTGTTCCAATCACACCTCTTCCCACCAGTGACACAAATCTCACGAGGTGATGAGACCACAAGAATCTGTCAAATCAACCGAGACTCGGCAACACACAAGCCCACTAGGAACAGGACATTCACACATCGCCATGACAACCCACCGCCATGTAAATGTCAAAGCCCTTACTCAACCTCGATACACGATTCTTTGCCACAGCTTGGAAGCCGAGTCGTAGGTGGGGCCATAACTGGCACCACACTGCAGATATTGCACAGCGTGACACTTCCATGAAGGATGCAAGCCAGTCTACCAATGACTGGTTCTTTCCCACCAAGGAAATGCCCTAAGTAGGAAAACCGGGAAAAGGAGAGAAGTCGAAACAAAACTTTATTTCAACAAGCCGCTTTCATGGAGAATCGTATAGATGGAAATAACAGGCAACAAGTCCACTACGTGAGAAAGAAGACTTGCACTGCTTAGGCACCGAACTCCATTGGTGAAGATGAATCACACGGGGTGGACATTTGGTTCTCGCCTTGTCTACATCCACCAGCATTCAAGACATTTCAGCCTTGTCGTTGGGTGACGAAGTGGTGTCGTTCCCACAACTCCCACTACTCTCCCCTCGCTGCGGCTTCGACGACCACAGGCAGCCGCGACATGTGGATTGTACTCCTCCACTCTTCATTCTTCTTGGCGAAGCAAACAGCGTCAGTGAGAGAGTAAGGGCGTCGAAGAGCAAGTCCTCCTTACAATCTGTGGAAAGAGAGATGAGTTGGTCACAGGATAAGAGTGGAACTTAACGTAGCTAGCGAAGAAGAGAAGGTAAGTAGCGAATGAAGAGGCTAGGCCAGGATACACAGTTGAGCCATTGTCAAATACCAAGGCTCCAATACGCACTGAGATTACCACCACGTGTGCAGAGTCAATTTTGCCCAAACCTGTCATCACGGCGCTCCCATGTCTGACACCAATCTAATTGAGATGAAGTGGCATTGGTTAGGGGTGGCGACACTTACATCCCTCCCTCATCCAAACACTTGAAGTTCCTTCTTTCATTCCAACCATTTCTCCAATACAAGTTCCCCTTAATTACCTCTGTATCTCACACATCTTCTGCCCAAACTTTGATTGGTAGTTAATGTGCAACCAAGGGAAGAACATTGACAGAAAATCACTTCATAAGAAAATTGTGGTGCATCAAAACATCTAAACAGACTTCACTCACTGTTACCGGCGTTGCGTTGAAGTGTCGGAGTTGCCCGTGGTGCCTCCGTGAAATGCGCACACAAAATGGGAGTAATGAAACAGAATCGTGGAAAAAGTCGTGACCGTTTTCAACTCACATTCATTAGACTTAGTTCAGTTTTGCAAGTCCAATGTTGTTGCTTGCATTGAAGACAGGACAGGGTAGATTGCATTACACGAGATCGGATCAGTTCGGACAGAGCAATCAAAGCAAATTCGTCACTCGATTTACTACAGGCGCCAAGTTGCATTCACAGATGACATGACAATGACCGTTGGAAACGAAATTCTCCACAATGTCATAGTGATCTTGTCATCGATGAAGAGGAAACGAGGGTTAGTTAGGCGCCGGATCTAAAGAACATGTTCTCATGCCATGGAATGAGGTGACCAGGACATAAATGTACTGCACTCGAAATCACTATGATAGCTGCTTTGAAATTTGACAGTCCCCATGACCACCCATGCATGCATCGTTTCAAAGGTGAACATAGGTAGGGATTTTCAACTTTTCCAGATCGACATCCCTGTACCATGACTGCTCAACCCACCATGGCAGACACCGACTCCAATAATGACCCACGAGCCTGCCAATATCCCATCTCTGGCATATAATAGTTGAATTGTCATCCATAAACAGCAAATCAAACAATGCTGAAAGAATCGTGAGTTTCGCCATCCCCTCGTGTCTTACTACAGCGTTTGGTTTGGGCACTCTTTTGGACAAAAAGAAGTGGGGATGGAGACAATGAGTTGCAATACTCACCCAGAGTGAAGAACAATAGAATTATTCGCACCTTTACGTAAGTGGGTCAATGGCCTACACCCGACGAAACTAAATAGCTGCCGCGTTAGAAGACGAAATCAGTGCCTTTTACTTCACAATTGGCCTGTACTTCTGCGTTTTGCAACAAGAAAACAGATTGAGAACTTCGCGATCAAGGCACCTTAGCAGTAGGCGTCAGCTGCACACCAAATAAAAAAAACCCTCCCGCAAATTTCTACTAAATAAAACAATAACATAGTTAAGTAAAAGGGTGATAACTAGTTTGACTAGTTTAAACAAGTAGAACATTGCCATGCTAACGTATGGTTGTAATTAATGCGATTTATTGAGTCCATTCTCTTTCCAAAAGTGGCACCAACCTCATATGATATGATTTTTACATTAAGAGATAGTTCTAGTAAAAAATAGCAGGCACCATTTGCAGCAGATGCAAAAAACGGGGGTATTTAACGTGCTGCAAGCAAAATTCCTAATTTGTCATCAATATTTGTTAACATTAGTGTTGCAGTTGGCAAATTGCTTTGGTATGATCAACTTGAGAGGTCATTACTGGGGCTGGACCATGTTTCTTGCATCAGGCGCCCTCCATTGACTTGACGGTTTATTGCTGCCCATCCTGAAGGAATTGGAGAGGGAGGGGAATGCACACATTTTTGGGGAGGTGCGAAGTGCACATTTCCCTCACCATGTTGCTGGTGCTTGTCGAATGCCTTCATGCTCACCATTTTTGCTGGAAGTTTATTTGAAGCTTGTTTTCTGATATCTGCTGTGTGGAGGGTTTCTAGATCCTGGCAACGCTGCAGGACTGGTTTTGCTTAGCTGCATAGGAGATGTGTGAATGTCCTATTCCTAGTGGGCTTGTGTGTTGTCGAGTCTCGGTTGATTTGACATATTCTTGTAGTCTCATCACCTCGTGAGGTTTGTGCCACCAGGACGAAGAGGTGTGATTAAAACCAGCAATGTGTAATGTTGCGCTTAGTGACCACCTAAATGAAAATGGCTCTTCAGATACTTGCAAGATGAAGAAGGATTTGCATTTTATATCTCCATCAATTTGCTACACTTTGGTAAGCACAGTAGTCATGGTGGGGTCTGTGTCGCTCAGTCATTGGCTCTGGTGATGCACAATCTTGACAGTAGACAAAGAAGTAGAAAGATATCGGCTTGAATAGTGTCAAGTTACTGGATGATTGCACCTTGAATTGAATGAATATAACTGTGGCATCTGTGGCTGGTGACAAGCAATGTCAACAGTCACAGAATAAATTTTATCAAGAAGTAGATAGTGAGTATCCTTGACACGGCAAAAAACAGGTGTGAGCACAAATCAACAAATGCTTCTCCTAAATACACGCCTGCAGAAGGCAATTAACGAGGAAGTGATCTATGGCGGTTCCCATTAGAGGAGGGAAGTGGAGAAAGGACGAAGGCGAGAACGCTTCTGTTGTCGACAGATTTGAGTGGGTAAAGTGCCTTGCCACGTAAAGCCCTCACATCATACCTCAGCATTTGTGTTTGCTTGCAGAAGGTAGAGACCAACACACAGACCTGCCCAAATGGTCCATGGAATGTAGAAGTGAGGACGTTTATCATGGGCTCACCTACACGTAGGCTTGAGTAAACATCTAGTAATATGCTTTAAGGTGCGGCTGAAACGTGTTCATTCGTCGAGTGAATGAAGGCGTCATCTTTGCCTCCTACACTTTCGACTACAGAAGTAGCCAACTTGGTAGTCTGGAAACGATTTCCTTCCTTCACATGTGTAAAGGATCCGGTTCAGAGGGTACGTATTGTCGAATGACTAGCTTGATAGCCACCATCCAATTCACCAATCATCTAGACCAGTTTTGTGGATTGTGCACTTTGAAAGAGGATTGACTTGTACCACTTGGATACGAATGCACGGCAACTTCGAGGAACTTGGATTAGTTGTGGGCTCCACTCCTGACTTGCTATAAATTTTTGGTATAATTGTATGCCTTTTTCTTCTACAGTCGCAAGGAAGTTTCCATACATAGCTCCTGTGATTGCCGATCGACGCGTTCTCTGAACTGAGACACAATTTTGAGGGGGGGAAAGGAAGAGTGACCACCCCTACTTGGCCCCTACTCAGATCATGAGTAAGCAGGTATCTATCAAAAAGTCACCCCGCACACCTAGCGAGATGCCCTGTCTGTGGAAGAACTCGCTCATATTGCAGGTAATGTGAGAAGTCTCGTCTTAACAAGAAGCTGTATCCTAACTAATATTTACGAACGGTGGTGCCAGACTATGGAAGGTATTTGACATGTGACAAATGCGAAATGCTTAAAAGAGGGCTTTACTGCATTCAACCGCCCCGCGATTACTGTCAAGCAAAGTGCTTTCGATATGATTGATGAATAGCGGTAGATCTAATTCGACTCGCCCCATCGCAACCAAAGCAATCAAGTATTTAAAGAGTTGATCAGCAAAGGTAGAACCATTTGCTCGGGGAAAGATGTTGGTGATGTGAAAAAGGTACATCTACTAAAGGCAGTAAAGAGAGAGGAAGGGAGAAGGGGAAGACGCTGAAGTGCTTGTTTTTTTGGAAACCCTAGATCATAGCTATTCTCGGCCTCTTTTGTGCTCGGCAAGGGAGTTGGGAAAGATGGAGGCAGTTTTTACAATGAACTTACCATACGACTCAGTGCGAGCCCGCACACACGCCGTCTACCAGAATGTAAGACGGTAGTGGTGGTGAATGCGTGCACGCCGGTTCGTGTGATAGATTACAGGCATCTTAAGTACTTAGAGCTCAGAACATTGCAGTGATGAAAACGAGACTTTTTGGGGGTGGTAAGATAGCAAAATTTGCTCGTCGGCGTGAAGGAGGTTGATTGCAAGTCTTTGAGGATGCATGTACCTACCAATATGTGTTCAAGCCCATCGTAGAACATGTATTCAAAAGTCACACCTCCATTTCGCACACACCCTTACAACATTCTCACCACTATATTTCCCATTTCATTCACTCACCTAACTTAGTGTTTGCTTTAGGGTTTTGCCTCTACATCTCGCGAGCAGGGTATAAAAGAATTGCGGCGCCACGAAGAGCAGAATGCTTGGGAAGTAGAAGTGTATGGCCCAGTGCCTTCACAGGCTCAATCATTGTCATCAGGCAAGAAGATGCAGAAATTTACACCCTTGAGGTGGGAAGGAGCCACCACTGGTACCATTTGGAGGGTTTTTTATCCCCTTATAGCGCCCAACTTCTGACGTTCTGACGTTCACCGACAATCATGGAGCAGCCTCAACAACAGACTGCTTTATAAGTGCAAAGGTTCTGGCCTAGCTTCAAAACACCATTCTTCTGCAGAACTCTGCAGAAAGTCCATAGCGTAATCCCTGTTTTTAAAGGATGAAAACAAGCCTACTGATGATTGGTTCATTCTCACCAAGGAATCCCATAAGCAGGGCTTTTTGGTGAAGGCGAGATGTCGAAACAAAACTGCATTTGCAAGGCAGTTTTTACGAAGAGTCAAATAAATGAAAATGGCAGGTGTCAAATTTGCCATTGGTTGAAGGAGATTTTTGCTGCTTTATGAGTGATGACGTGATGTCACTCCCACTGCCTTCACCGCTCCCTTCCCTATATGATATTGGGGACCAAAGGTAGGTGCGACATGGGGATTGTACTCTTTTACTCATCATATTGTTGAGGAAGCCAGTTTTGTGGGTAAGGGTAGTAGTTGGTGTTTTACCTCTCTTTAAACCGCAGGACGAAAGTGAAAGTAGGCAAAAATTAATTTGAGAAGAAGGTAGCCAGGTTGATTTCGTAAATGATGGCAAGGAGATGAGGGACATAGGCGAAGGTCCATTCTATTCTTTGATAGTATGAAACTTTCGGCTACGCAGCAGGCTCTACAGGGCACTTATCAGACCATGACAAGGTCGCATTGGTGCACTTGATCCTAGATCATGGTAGCAAGACCACGTCGCAGGTAGTTAGGGACATTCTCAAGGCGTCAGATGGCAAGTTGGTTACGCTGCTTCTGCTGCACTCTGAGATACGTGTTAGTGAATCCCAACGCTCTCCCCCTATATTCAGAAGTGGCTAATTCTACTGACGACAAAAACGGCCATCGGTTGGGTTTTCACTGTCTTCCATCTGACACAAGTCATAATGACATGTGGAGCCTCCCTGATACATTCCGCGTAACCACCAATGTGCGGGTGGGTCAAAAGGTGACCCGAGCATTCGGCGTTTTCCGCCCCCCATGATCAATCCAAAACGCGACGCCAGCGCCTACTCACGGTCTCAATGATGCGGATCTTTACTTCTCCCTGCCTGATAGTCTTAGGTTATGCCAACTCTGGAATTAGTTCCCGGGTCGAGCTATTTGCGTAGTGCAGTCAATTCTAAGGCACCTAGCGAATTCATATCTTTGTGTGGTTTTAAGTGATGTCTAATTTGTTAGCACGTGCGTATGTGTAGAAGGTAGTGTAAAACAGTACAAACAACAGGCATTCTCAGACGCTCTCCAACACCATTCGAGACTTTTAGCTGCGTCCCAGTATAGTATGTCCAAGCAAGTATTTAGAGAACGTATCAGGATGAAGATCACACGAATAGACAGTGGTATATGAAAGGTGTAGGCTATGTATCAATACGGGAATAGTCGAGATCATTCAGCTACGCAACAGACTATGAAGTGTACCTCGTGCAATTCTTACAACTTTTTATGGTTCGGCAGCAATCAAAGGAACGAAGCAGCACTTCCGTAAGGAGAGGCTATGTTGATTATGCATAGTCACATCAGCTCTAACCCACCTTCTGGATTCGTGCAAGGTGGCACTCAATTCTTGGTGTGATTTTTGCCACTTCGTGGGGGAGGGGGAGGGGTGGCCAACGATTCGATATACTGTGCGTAAGCGCGGACAGTCTCCACTTACGTCAATGACTTACTTGACAATAGTACGTCGTGGCGACTTTCTCCCTCCAACAAGTTTAACAATGGATTACCTTTGCTATTCACTGCGTCCACGGCCATTGCGTGGCAGTTTGAAGAGACAACAGTGACGACGACGGCCTACATGGTTGCACTGGCACCAGAGAAGCAGTGCTATTGTGGAATAGTGGGTAGCATTTGTAGGCGCGCTACCGCATACTGCTTGTGGATCCTTGCTACCCTTCACAACCGATTGAACCACTCAGTCGAAGAATGCTCCTTCACAAGAAGTCTGTGCTGAAATTGCAACATGTTTCTAGCTTATCTCACCAGATATCTTGCCGTTGTGGCATTCCGCATTTGCCAAGATTGTGAGACCCAAATGTGCTTTTGTCTCGGTACTCTAATGTGTCATCCTACTTTAACTGTCCATTAGTGTTCTTGTGCGTGCATCAACGTCGTGGAACACTTTTTGAGGCCTGGGAAGGTGATAGGCAAACGCCCGAGTACTTGTGCCTAATCGTCAGTGCTTTGTCTGATGCTTATGACCTTGTGGTGGCCAATCATGTTGCAGATTCAGAAGGTGGTTTGGCTAATGAGGCGTCCTAACAGATGACACGCTTGTCACAACGCATCGTAGCGTCATCAGCCATTCCCGAAGCAGTATAAAACAATGCAAAAAGTGGTAGTTGGCTTTGGATGTGACTTCTTTTGATCAGTTAGTCCATCCACCATTAATTCCAATGTCTTCACTCACACCGATTCAGGTATTTTACAGTAACAAGAAATGTGGGTCATGATGTTTGTGGAGGTCAAATGTTATCCTCGAAAAAGAAACTTTGCATAACCGGATCATTTAGAGAGTTGAAAAGGTCCGCTTCGATAATTTCGGGACAAAGATTAATAAAACCCATCTTTACATAAATAGATCCTCCAAGTGGTGACCTCTTCCACTTTCATTTGTCTAAAAGAAGACAAAAATATCCTTCAAAGTCACCCACATCTCTTCACAACATGGCTAACGCACAAAGCTACTTTGACTGCAGTTTACTTAAGCAAGGAAAGGTGACATGGGGCAGCCAAATATGCTTGTGCTACTTTTTTTAATTGCGAAAATTCCAAGTAGCTGACAAAGGCTTCTTGAAAGTTTTTATCACTCCTTCCAGAACAGACACGAGCTTCCTTGGTTGTCCACTTCTACGGCAGGCTGTAGTCGTGTTGGCTACCATCTAGCTCTATCAAAATGTCACCTCTGTCTTGGCAAGCGAACAATTCCACTTGCACCATTAAAACCGATTTAACTTCTATCTTCACGGCAGGCAGCATCAAGTCACACTTCCACCATGCCCAACCGCACCGACAAGGGCCGACGCCAACTGCTGCTGCTGCTACTGCTTTATCGCCATCTGTGATTTGCAGGGTTCTACAAGCTGCAACAAAACGCTTTAGCCAGCTGCATTGAAGACTTTACCAACTTATTTGCCCACATCAGAACATAACCACTGGGAGGGAAACAAAGTGATTACTTGATTGAAGAGCTCCTCCATTTGCACAGACTCCTTGCCTCCGTGATCCGCCTGTTCCCCTTGGAGGAAAAAGTCAAAGTTGTCCAGTGCAATCCTTATCTGAAGTGAAAACAGAGCAATCTGCTGTTAGATGCTTGGGGAGCAATCGGTTTACGACAACATCGTAGACGACAGTGACCAGCGAAATGTGTAATGGTGGAGGCCGGGAGGTGGGAGATTCAACGATGCTCAAGAGTCCTCTTAGTACTACCGTCAAAATGACGAAGACAAATACCCTACAACCCTACAGACTCAGCTAGTGCTTCCCAGGCATTGTCAAATCACATAATTACCTGTGTTAGTCCCTGCAACGAGAGAATGTACTTCTCCATTTTCAAATTTGCTAAGGCCTCCTGCGCCGTATGTACCATCGTCTGAGCGTCAGAGAATGTTTTTTGAAACTCAACAATCTTTTTGAAGTCTGTCTGGAAAATTCAAAAAACAATGCATACTTTTTACGGGCTAACAAATATACATATGCAAGGTTTTAGCTTTTAAAGGAGAAACAATCAGAAGGTCGGGTTAAAGGATAAGGGAATGTTTAACCGGAACGTACCTTTTCGTCGTCAAGCAGTGAAAGCACGTTTGGTATAGATGGCAGGATATTTTGTGTTTTCCCCATATCAACGCTCAAGTCTTCCAATTTCTTTTGCAAATTTAGATCATTCGCCTCCACCTTCACCAGAGCTCTTTTGAGGGCTCTGGTTAGCGACGTCTCGATCGTTGTCGCAGCTGCGTTCAGCTCGTTGTGAAGAGGGGCCAGCTCCAAATGGCTTTGATCTCGTCTACTTAGCAAAGCAGTTCGAAGCACTCGGAGGTGGTCAACAGCATTATTTAGACCGATGATTCTCAACATCTCGTGGCCTTTTACCTGCGCAGGCGATGCATCAACAGAAAGGACGATTAAGCATACTCAGGTATTCTTCCTGACCACGTGATTATGCAGTTGTCCGTTACGGGATGTGAAATTAAGCATTTCGCCCATGCAATAGGAGGGGGGAAATTACGAGAAAGGAGTTGATGAGGAAGAAGAAGGAAAAAGGGCGAAAAAAAGTGGAAGAGAACAAAAGGAAATGAAAGGTTACCCTTCTACTCTCGTAGCAATACAATCACTCAAGAAATGCTACTGTCAGTTTTGAGGCATTAAGCATGCATCAGTCCTTCAAATCGTCCAAAAGTGAAACCGCTGACCAGCACAGGGCTGTTTGTCAGACCTAAGCCTAAGCCTCATCCATGTGGTTGCGTCTTGACTCAACAATTGTAAAGAATTTTAGCACCTCCAGTAATCACACGCTATTGACATTGGGTGGAATTTTGATGTACAAAGAAAGGAGGGCACCCGTGACAACTTTGAAATGACACAGAGAAATCAAGGTAAACCTCGTAGATCAAGTACAGGGTTAAAGAGGCTTCAACATTTACGTCGAATCAACTCTAAAACTTTAGGCAACCTTCCCTTGAAAATGGGGGATGTATAGGCTTCGATCATTTGTGTTTACTGTAGGATCTGGTGTGAACCAAAGCCGAAATGTCCCTCATAAAAGATGCAGAATTTACAGCCAAAAGAAGACGGAATTATACGTTTAAAAATTTACATTAGTGTGTTGATCTGATGATTCCGTCGGTACTTTCCACATTGTTTGCCACCTCTTGGCCCCTCCTAACAATGAGGCAACTTCAAGAAGACTTTCCAGTATATTCCGCTTTGACATATTTTCTCGCAAAGCCTACAAGAGGGGATGTTAGAAGGCGGGTCGAGGAGGGAGGGGAAGTGAAAAAGAGAGAGAAATGGGCGTAGCAGCCGAGTGAATTTGCAATGCTTAGGCTACCACCCAACACCGCTTACTGTGCTGTGTTCCATCGAGGAGTAGGCATCTTTAAGATTTGAAAGCTGGATTGTAAGATTAGCAGTTTGCTCGGCCAGTGCGTCCAATTTTAGTTTCATCTTAGCGGCATCGGAATCTTTGCTATCCAAAGCACCAAATACACCCTCCTTTGTATTCTTTCCCGGGTTTAGTTCCGAGGAACAAAACGCCTTCAATCGCTCCAGACTCATCTTCAAAGTGTCCATTGTGTCAAGCGATGTCTGATGCTGGACCTCTCCTTCACTCTGTGATCCTCCATTTCCCTCCGCACTATCAGTACCCAAAAGAAAGTCATTTTCTCTACAAAAACTCACAGCTTTGAGTACGCTTTGGAAATAAAATCCGCGAGGTCGGAATCCATCGCTTCGTCTCACCTTCTTCCGATCAAGTGGCGGTGTGTGTATCACATCATGGATCCAGTCGCAATGTCAACCACTTTTGACATTTCCATTGGTTAGTTCTTGTGGCGGTCTCACCAATCAGTGTGATGGGTTAATTAAACTTAGGCAATGGGTGTGCTCTCACATTCCGCAGCACATGACGCTTCTTGTGCTAAAACTTCCCGCATCGGCTACGAAAAACACACTTACACACCCACGTTAACATTCTCGGTTTTCAGTCCTATGCAAGCCGTCAATCCAACCAGTGCACACCACGAAGACGCAGTCCATCCGATTCTAACGGACGTGTCACCACCTGCTCGCTGCTCCCTACTGTCGGTACGGGGCAGGGCAAGTTGTCAAGTCATGTTTCGTAAACAGTATAGGTATTATCATTGCTACTCACTTATTTCGGGAATAGGCACTTCAATTTTTGGCTCAGAAATTGATAATTTACTGCCTGGTGGAAGTGACAAATCATGGTACAATAATAATGGTTGGCAGGGCGAATAAACCGGCCTCCGCAGAAAATCCCGACTGTTTATCTGTACGCAAAATTGGACAGTCAGACAATTAAACAATAGCGCGGGTTCTAAGACCTTCCGTGTTGTTGGAAAATAGAACAAGCTCATCCACAATTCTACTTCACCTTCTTCCTTCTCTTCCTTCGCAATGTCTAGTTTTCTCCCACCCAGGTAACCTTGTCTTTGTCTTCTTTCCGCTTCTTCCGGCTTCTCATTACTAACGCCTGGATTCCTACGCTTGATAGGCCACCACCATGACCTCCTCCTCCTCTATCTCGCCTTTTTCATCCTCCAAATTTCAGATACCATTCTTACCGTTTCTAGGCTTTGTCGTCCACTTTACGTTTGGTGTGTAATTTCCACACTCTAGCCTTATGTATCCACACCGTCTCATCCTCTTCCAGTCCTTCTTTCTCATCGTCCTCCAAGTCCCGAATTCCTCATTCTGCTACTGTTCCTCGTCTCCTGCACTCTCCTTCATCATCTCTTCCCTTTATCCCGCTTTGGGAAAGTAGGAAGCGGATTCTGTCAAATGGAGGAAGTATCTATTATGGTAATGAATGCACTTCAAATGTTCCGCATGGCCGATTTGCTATGGATGCCTGGTGATTGCGTTTTACAAGCCTTCGTCAGCAAAGTGTAGTGCAATCACCAAAACATCTTAGCGGTCATTTATCGCTACCTAGAAGATTCGATGCTCAGGAACGGACTGCATCCCATCGAGGCCTCCAACCAGACTTCCAATCACATGTCTCTACCACCGAAGTAATGGTCAAGTATTGATGGACCATCAGTGAGCCAGCAAGTACCACGGATGGGTTGTGCATAACGATGTTTTGGTGAAGCGGGATCAGGTCTCGACAATGCGTTAGTACCTATTCTCAGACGCGAAATTGGGTGCGCGCTATTCTACATAAAATCACATCATGTAACCCCTCATATGCAGCCTAACGAGTAGTGCTCTACTTCAATTGTAGATAAGTGACACTGCAGTTGAAAATGCACCAGGGAGGTGCAGCATGGATGTCAATTTCTGAAAAAGAACTTACAAATCACTGCCTAGTGAGTGAGTGTTGGCATAGCCTATGCGAACAACACTGCGAGTGCAACTACTGGATGGACTTCAGCAACGCATCGTGCTGATTGGTTGAGCCATCACAAGAACTGACCAATAAAGATGACAAAGGTGGCAGCCATTATAGTGTGACACGCACACCGCCATTCAAACGGAGGAGGATGCGATGGAGCGGCGGCTTCCTGTGTCGTCTCTCTCATACGTGGATTGCGCGTAGAGGTGTAAGTTGTTTATGTAAAAGCAGTTTTTTGTGTCGGCACTGATAGGATAGAGGGAGATAGTGCAATACTAAGCGGGACACTTGGATGAGTAACTTGTTTTTACTCCCTTGGTATTTATTCCACCTAAGTAGGTGGGTGGGTGATTCCGCTGAGGGGCCAGGTACGGACGGATATGCCGTTTAAATCAACATTCGAGCAAAATGGTGCCACCTACCCTGGATTTTAAGGTGTGGAAGCGGTGTAGACGACTCACACACCAAAGTCGTAGATAGGCGTGGTGAAGTGGAATAGTGTATTTGAAAAGGAGTAATGTAAACCATTCCATAGAGTGATGATTGATGAGGGATTGAGGGAGGCAGGCAGCCATGAGTGCCAAAACTGTGTAATGGGATGACCGGGTATGTGGTAGGGTGCAGAATCTTGCCAGAATACGTAATGGGGCAAGCCATTGTGACCACGCTAGAGAGGTCACGAGTACGCAGAAGGAGGAGTGGAAGGGAGCAGTCATGGATAACGGTTGGCGAGCAGGGGTCTGTGCTGTACGGTGGGAGAGGAGTCTAGAGGGACTGAAGGCCTCAAATGATGAGTTGGCTAAGGGTTCAGCTTTGCTCTCCACGAATCAGCAGCAAGTGGTTTGTGTGTCTTCTTCAACGGTGTAATGTGGAACACGCCCGCATTTCTTCATGCAAGCGGTAGCCATCGCTTCGGGTGTGGATGTAGAGAGGAGCAATAAATCAGGCTGCTGAGTTTTGAATTCACATCTGCTTTATGTTCTATTCCCAGATAACATCAGCAGCTGTGATGGAGAAGTAATGAGTGAACCTGTTTTGTCTTTTCCATTGTGCCAAAAAGGATGAGTGATCTCTACAGCATGCCATGCGGACGCGCCTTCTACTTGCAATCCCGTCTGCTTTGACACTCCAGGACCGTAACAGAACATTGCATCTACTGCCAGGCAGAGTTTGACTCAGCGAAACTCCGTCCCAACTACAACGTGGGCTTGCAGATCTGTCTGCTCTGGAAGCAACGGAAGTAGGAGCAGGAGTGGGAGCAGAAAGTGGAGAATAGAGGAGCAGGCGATCAGGAGATGTTGAATGAGGGGAGGGGATCGGAGGAACTCCGCTCACCTTCATGCGTCGTAGTAACTGCCGTAGGCAAATGCAGTCTACCACCACCGGGTCTGTGTGCAATGCAGCGAGAAACACCGCGACAGTGTAAGCATTGGTGATTTTCGAACTGCAATGCAAATGACAAGACGTGGCAAACCTCGACACTTGGGGTGGGAGAGAATACAAAGGATGGAACTGTTGGTGCTTTGGAGAACGCGGTGTGTGGGCTGCATGTGGTTGTGAGTAAAGCGCTGGATGGGGCCACAACGAAGGTGAAGCTGGGGGAATCAGCTGGCTTCGAGATTAGCGATGGATTTGTTTGTTGTGAAACGAGCGTTTTGACTGAGGCATGGCGGATGCAAGATATCTACACATGCCTGGAATGGATGAAAGTGGTTGGTGTTGGATGGTGGACAGAGTGTTGCGAATTGCTCTTGCTGCCCGTTACCAGTTATTCGTCTCCCTCCTTCCCTTTCACACTTTGTCGATTCTCATTCGTCTTTTCTCGTGTAGGATTGGCAAGAAGCGGTGACAACGCAGAAATCGCTGAAAGACTCCCCCACCCTCTTGGGGAGAGATGGTGAAACTACTACTGCCTCTGCCCTAACACAAAGGCATCTATACAATCAATTCCGTAAGGTAAGTTGTCAAACGCGTGTGCGTATATGCATGCGCGCGACGATTGTACTCCTTCACTCATCACATTGTTAGGGAAGCAGGAAGTGTCGATGAGAGTAAAGGGGTTGCAGTTTTAATTATTTTTAGGGACACAGTATGGAGGTGGGGGCAGAGGATGAATTTGTCAAAGTGGAGGAGGTGTAGAGAATAAGGCGGATAGGGTGGGGTGGGGTGGGGTGAACACTGACGAGATGTTGATTGACTGATGTAGTTGGTATTTGCTTCGAGACAGAAACGTCGCCTCGCACATCACCTTGACGATGTCTGGGATGATGCTGTACGTGGGCGGATTGCGGCGAAAACACGGAGGATCAGTCGCGACAACAATTGGTCCAACATGGTGCCGTCACCGTATCTATTTGCGCTGGGCTGCACCACAGACGAGTTGGGCTACGGATTTGTGACATCCTGGAAGGTGGTGGTAGGTGAGAGGTGGATGAATTGCGCCTATTCGCTAGTAAACGGAACCGTTGGACTGCGCATCAGGCCTTGAAGGAAGAAGTGGAGTGTGGGGTGGAAGTGACGAGGCGTAGTCTTCGTGAACATAACCACACCGCAGGACGTGAAGGCTCCTCTTGAGGCGCTATCTCATCAAGTGAGTGGAGAAACCATCGTTGTGCAACCTGCATTTTCGTGAGCTTTGAAGTGGATATCTGTAGTTTGGACGCGATTTTGCTGCTTCAAATCAGCATGGCAGTGGATGCAACGTGCTGTCACGACCTTGTCGTGTGACAGCAGACAAGGTTGCAAGCAGAAGGTGTGTCCGCATGGCAGGCTGTAGGGATCACTCACACCTCTCGGCACCGTGGAAAGAACAAAACAACTTCACCGCTTCCTTCCACGCTATCGCGCCGCCCTCCATCGCACCTGCTAGTTTTTTTGTGAACCCTCTAGTTTGACCACACTTGCTTGTCGTGTTACGAAATTTGGGACGACATCGCACCCCACCACAAACTTGGACATTTCATTACGTGATTTCCTCACTCATGCTTCCATTCCTCCCCTCCTCGATCCCTCATCGTCTTTTGTCAGCAACCATCCTTGTATAGATTTGTTCACTTTATTCCTTTCCACATAGACTATTCCACTTCGCCACTCCTCTCATCGGGTGATCCTGCACCCCAAAATTTGCGATTAGCACCTCCGTTTCAATTGCCTTTTAATGTGTTCCACATATCTGTCCGTGTAGAACCTCGCAGCTAAATCACCCACCCATCTACTCAGGTGAATAAATGCCAGTGGATTGAAAACGAGTTACTCATTTTGACGGCCCACTTGGTGGTGTTGCCCTTCCTTCCATCCTGTTGGTGCCTTTGTAAAAGTCATCGTTGCACAACCAACTCACATGTGCAACTCGCGGACGGGATGTGCGAGAGTTGGATCCATTGCTTCGTCGCACCTCCTTGCGGTTGGGTGGCGGTGTGCGTGTCACGTCACAGATTCAATCCCGATCTCGAATGCTTGTGGCGTTTTGACCAGACAGTGCGACGGGTCGTCAAAGTCCAGCCAGTAGTTGCGCTGGTGAAGTTGTCTCGCCATGGTCCAGACTAAGGTTCGTTCATTGAGCAGTGTAGGTGGGTAGGTCCCTATTCAACAAACACTTGTATCAATGCTGCTCCTTTCTCTCGTGTGACCAACTGCGTTGTCACTTATTGACAGTTTAAGTAGAACAGTGCGTGTGCCGGTAGCACCACTCACCGTTCATGCGCTCTTGTGCAGCACATGATGAAATAAACAGTATGATTTCTTGCAGGAAATCCAGCACCCTTTTTCGCGTTCGGGAATAGGTACCAATGTAGGGTCAAGGCCTGATCCCGCTCTACTGGAACATCTTTATGCACAACCCACTGACAGGACTTGCTGACTCACCGATGGCACACCCAATGCCCGACCATTACGTTGGCGGTAAAGACGTACTCTGAAGTGTGGTTGGATTTCGTGATATGACGCAGTCCAGTCCAGAGCACTGAACCCCCTGACAAATGACAACTGGCTGCTTGGATGTTTTGGTGATTAACACGACTCATCCATCCACCGAACAATTGATGCGCAGTTATTGTGATACAGACGCTTTCCCCACTGCAGAGTACTTGCTTCCAACCTGTTCGAAGGCGTTCAGTTGCATTTGCTTTCATCGACCTTCGATGGACTGCACGGGCATACACTCTCCTCCCTCTCCCTCTACTACTGCTTGTAGGCTACTATTCAACCGCATGTTGTGTGGCCACAGTGACGAAGTGAGCGGAGCGTGGCGTGAGGGAAGTAATGTAGAACAGTGGATCCACGAAACCACTTAACATTTCCTCTCCTGCTGCAGTGACGAGTAGCACACCTGCCGGCACGAGATGCCCATGGTGAGGAGAATGGTTAAATCCTGGGTGGTTGGAAGCCACCGCGTCCTCCCTTCTACACCACACTTTAGCGTGGGACTCCTAATTGGATTGTCATTCTTTGCCAAGAAGCCGCTGAAATGAGCACCGGCAGTGATGGGAAGCCCCTCACGAACTTGGACACTATTTCCCCGTCTGTGCAGCCGTGACAGTTGGAAGGGCTGGATTGCCCACCTCGCGAGAAGAAGTGGTAATGCGGACTCAGATGTCCATTAAGGGCCTCAATCCTGCAGTCCAACGTCCCCCACACTTAACGACGTAGACGAGCCACTGCGAAGCTATCACTGATCAAAATCCAGTCCCATCTAGTGGCTACATTTCTGACTCTGGTAAACCATCCAAGCCGGTGCTACTTCGCAGTCACTGCACACACCCCAGGGTGCGCCACCGCTTCTCCACTTTTCTTGCGATAAATACTTGGGACGCATCCTTTTATTGTCAAATCAGCCCTCTAAATTGGGAACAGGAAAGTACTTCCTCTGCTTCATTGTGCACCCACTCAGAGGTCATGCCTTCCCTCCAACCAAACGAGTGAGGCAACGGCATCGGAGCACTTTGGGCTAAGAGGGCTCAAAAGAACATGGGGACTGTAACGAAATGTTACAGGTTATCTGCAACCGTGAGTCTTTTCGAGACTGAACAAGTAGTAGTCCTTCTGGTTTGGAGGGACTGTAGCGACAACAGTCACTGACGTGGACGAAGGTGTATTGCGTCTGTCAATCACACGAGGCGTCACACGTAGGAGGAATTAAAGCGTCAACACTCTCACCACGACCAGTTGCCGGTTATTCGATTAAACTCGTCTTTAGTAATTATGTTGAGTAACCACCTGTGTCCACATCTGTACCAACTGAAGCCACCATGTGGACGAGGTATTTGTACAAGATAAACGTCATGCAGGTAATCCTCCTGATCTCCTACAATGTAGTGAACAACGTTTGGACCGCATGTAACCGAGAAGTCCTCCACATCTACGTGTCACGTCAAATAAAAAAAAAAACATATCTTAGCAGCAACAAATTGCACTACTACATACATGCTCCTTACTTGGAGACTCTCCTCCTCCAGTCCCTTGCCAAAGAAACAAGATGAGTGAGCCTGTTGTACCCGCTTAATGCAGCACACGACCTTGATCTCCTTCAAAACCGATTGGAACTAGACTGATTGCGAAAGGGGATGAAGGAAGGGGTAATTGCGAGGACAGGTACTTACGTTCCTTGATGTCATGCGGTCTCCATTCTGTCTGCAATATACAATTCACACGTCAGGTTAGCACAGGAATGGAACCGCAAAACGCTGGTTGCCCACTGGACAAGAATGTGATTGTGAAATCCAGCTATTACTAATCCTCGGTTCAACTCCATTCTCAAGCACTTAGACCATTGTTTGTGGAGTCAATGCAACTAAACGACCTTGACTAAAAATAAAACACACTTGTAACTGCAAGCAGATATATGATTGGTTGATAGCACGTCTCACCGATGTTAACCTTGAGCATGGTGGGTTTGGAAATATGTTTGATAGCTTAAAATGCTAAGATGGATTGATTCCAAGCACACTACATATAGTTGATATGCTTCAATTACCTTTATCAACCGTGTAACTTGTCAAAAAAGTGTAATCATTCTCCTCATGTATTTCAAAATGCGAAAAGAGAGGATTTCATATTACTCCATGATGCTTCCATGCATTTATGATCCTAGATAATGCCACGATAACAAACCTGTGCATCAAAAATAAATACTTTAAGGCTTGACTATTCC